GGAGTCGTGAGACCTGGCAAGCCCTCATGCGGATTTCTGGCATCAAATCCTCACACCGCTTAACTGCTGCGGTGGCCATGGTTGGTCTGAATCAGAGTTTCATCAAGGGTGTAACCGTTCTCACTGCTCTACCTAACTGATATGGCATAAACATCACTGATCCCGTCTCCAGCGTTGCACCTGTCGACATTTATCGAGGGTTGGCTCAATTGAATCCTCACGAGTCCTGCGGCCTCGACGGAGTCTTACCCGCTGTCCTGAAAGAATGTGCTGTGTTCCTTTCCCCTTTACTGAGTGAACTTTTCAATGGTTGTATTTTGCAGCAACGTATACCCGACTGCTGGAGAATAGCGTCTATGACCCCTGTACCTAAGAAAAGATCCTCAAAATTCCGTCCCATTGCCTGCACCTCAGTTGTCTTGAAGGTGTTTGAGAGGCTCCTCCTCAAGACCCTGTCCGCACAATTCAATGTTGTTGACCCGAACCAGTTTGCGTACACCCATTCCCTTGGTACCCTGGATGCCCTTGTTTATCTGCCCCGCTGTGTTATATCCAACCTGGATGATAAAACCAAGGCTGTACGCATATGTTTTCTTGACTACAGTGATGCTTTCAACACAATTGATGGACAAACTTTGTTAAATACCCTCTCTTTGGGTGGAGTTCAACCTTCTACGACGACCGTCAACAGTTCACACGCTACAAAGGTCGTACATCTTCACTGCTACCCTCCTCAAAAGGCGTACTACAAGGTGCTATTTTATCCCCTTTTATATTTTTTGCTTACATTTCCTCTATGCCTGTGAGCAATTCTTCCCTTCTTGTCAAATATACAGACGATATAATATTCGGACTGCCCTACCTCAACTCATCATTTCAAACGACTCTACAAGAAGACGTGTCTGAACTGGTTGAGTGGTCACAACAAAGGAACCTCCGCATGAACCTCAAAAAATGTAACGATGTAATTTTTTATTTTTTTTAAAGGACAAAAGTATGATAAATTATCAAACGACAACCGTCTGACAAATACCTGGGCGTTATTTTCAACCGTAATCTCACATGGTCTGCCCACGTCAATGACGTTTTTCTGAAGGTCAGGAGGCTCACGTTTTGTGTTTTTCGTCTTAAATCACTTTCCATTCCAAACCATCCAATAAGGCGTTTTGTTTTTGCGTGCGTCTTGCCTCGCTGGCTTTATGGGTTCCCTGTTATCTTCCCTGGTTTTTTGAACAAGGACCTCAAACTCATTTCCCGATCTCTCAAATTTCTGTCAGTTTGTAGTCTCATATCACGGAAACATCTAGTCCAGTATGTGGTTACACATCACTTCAAGTCCTGTAAAACATTCTCCAACAAGATTTTATCTGATATCTCTCGTCCTCTTTATTCCGCCTTCAGTCAGTGCCTTTCTCACTCATCCCCCCGTTACACTCACAAACTTTTAAAGACACGCACTGAAGCTTACAGGTGGTCTATTGTCCCTTATCTCGCCAGATTTCTAACAAACCATGAACTTGTTGCAGGAAATCTGCGCCAAATGTTAAACTAAATCCATTCTATACACCCGGGTATGCCATTGATTTTGATGTTGCTGTCCTTTTTCACGTCCTTTAATTGCTGTATCATATTGCGGTTGTTGTTTTTTCCACTTTTTGTTACACTATGGTTGTGTTTGCTGAATTTCCACCTCTCGGGGTGTATAAAGCCATTCCTGGACTTGACTTGACTTGATGATATTCCCAAACTCGTGGTAATAATTACCGATGGTTGTGATAATACGTTCACTTAAATTAATTTCAATGTGCAATAAACTCATCCAACTTTTCGTTCAAGGATCATGGCTGGTTGTATGCGATCAGGGAACTTTTCAAAGTCTAACGGTGGAATAGCGCTGATGTGATCGAAACCTCCTGACTGATATCAGTCGATCAGTGTCTCCACGTTGATCCTTTTTTTTCAAACTTATCTTTTTTGTTCTCTTATTATTTACCCCATGTTTTATCTTTGTGAAGACAATCGTACATCTTTTTTTCGTTTCATCTGGGTAGCTCCAGAAACCCGTTCCGCCCAACACGATCTGGCTGTTGCGATCAGTCGCAGTCTGGCTCACATCTGGCACACGTTACAGGACCAACTGGTGAACCGGGTGGCTGAAACGTACACCGATCTGGTTGGTCCTCTGAGACAGTTGAGTGAGACTGCATGTCCAGCCTCTGGTGGACCACCGAATGAAGCAGCTTTTAATGAACAAATGAAAGTGTTCCTGGTATGTTTCTCTTTCTGTTCATCAGAAGTAGTGCGTTTTGTACAATTGTTCTTGATATTTTTGCATTGCTCCAATTTTCCCACACATTTGGACAAATTTAGCTTTTGTTAAAAAATTGTTGAGTGCACAACCAACATACATCAGTCGGTTATGTGTTCGACTCAGGCGATGAATTACGTTCATCCCCGGTCACATCCCTTAATTGCCACTTCGTTTCAGACATTGTACAAAACGATGCATTCCTGAAATTCCGATCTAACCTGTTCGAACATAGATTAGTTGTATCTTTTTCCAATTTTTCCAAACGAATTTGGTGTGTGCGGTCTGAAAACGAACATAATCCGGGGTTCTTTTAAACTTATTTCCCCAAAATGGGGTGACCATTGTGTTGTCATGCCAGCCTCAATGTAAAATTCAGTCATCGTGTTTGTACGCACGCTTTCTGGATCGCTAGTAGCACCGGTCAAGTGACTGTGATGCCGCAAATGTGGTCTTCTGCCAAATGCTCCCATTTGGCTACTATCCATTTTTGCTGTGTAGCAGATTTCGATTATGGATTTTTCAAAGTATTCTGTTGTTCGCAATTACCTCACACTCAATAATTAGTAACAATGTGGGGTAATTTGATCTTAACAGACCATTCCTGAGATTACTCCGTCTTCAAACGCACACAATACTCAATCTTATACTGGGGACTCGAGTTTCACGCTCCTAAGAGTTCATCGGTTGTGCATTTTCCTTGATTCGTCCTCTAATTTTAACTGCAGAGAAACTCATCGCTTGGACCGACCAGTTCACACTGGAACTAAACAGAATTACCTCTTCTGATTGTTCAGGTGTCACGTTTATTTAAAGCCTTTCTACTCCATTATCCGGACAAAACCGTAGCAAGACAGTGTGCTTCCCTTCTGTTCACTCCAATCGAAAGCATCTCACCAAATCAGATCTTTATTGCAGGCTTGGGTACGCGATTCCAATGAAATCTGCTAGGTTGCACATTGGTTCGCATTTATTATTTCTCATTCTCACTTGATACGCGATTGGAGACAATTAGTGATGATTTCGGAGGACATAACGAGTTTCATATGTCAGGCGATTGCTCTCCAACAGGGGAAACATAAAACTAAGTGATGTGAGTGAATTCGAATAAAGCAATAATCGTCGTTCTGGTCCGTTACAAGATAAACTTGGTTACAAGTCCTTAAAGCACGTTCTCCACGAATAAGGTTGAATAATAACAAGGATTTCAATTGATATTCTACTCGTTAACTTTATTTGTTCATTCACAAAACCCAACAACCCTCAAATGCGATCTGGTAGTCTAAAAACAAAGTTGGGTAACTAACTTCAACAGTGTGAACCGGGACAGCTATAGGGCTCCCGTCGTACTACTAGTTGAGTCGTCAACAATTCACTCATTGCGGGTACATTGAACTGCTGTTATTTGGTGGAACTAATTAGTTTTTTCACCATCGATGTATTCCTAAAATCCTTAATTCTATCAGAAATCTTTTACCACAAGTGAATTTTCATTTGTTTAATAGTACTGTCCCGTGCTGTATGTATGTAGCTTCCGAATGGGCTTGTTACCTGCGGATTTAGTTCAACGAAACCGACAGCATTCGCTAGTGACCTGGCTCTCATTGGTTCATTTATTTTACTTCCCTCTTTCGTGGATCGAACGACACAGGCACATGAGTTCCGGTTTTACACAAGTTAAAGAACAACAACCCGATCGATGTTAAAACTAGTAGCACTGTACTGATTTAGTCCCATTGAATTCAATAATCCCCCTTTCTGTACAAGTGTTGCGCGACAAACAATGGGGATATTTGATTCTTACAACCTTGAGAATATTGATGAAATCAAGCCGCATTTTCTCTCGCTAACCCAGATCACAACCTTCGATAGAGAGTTGGTAAAAGCTAAACTGAACCGGATCAACGTTATCGTTTTCAGAAACACTGCCAGTAATATTTACGGATTACAAACTAGAACATTGTACCATTGGATTTACTTCAATATGAAATGTTATTCACTATTGTACACTAAATTGGTCACAAGTTAGTCCCGTTTACCTCTTAATTTGGCACATTCGAATTGGTAAACGTATTCAATGAAACACTCGAAAATTGTCCTTATTACCGCGAATTAATATTGGTTACCATGCCTTCTTTCCTCTTTCTCGAATCGGGACTATCTGGTTGTGGAAAAATAACAATTAGCGATCGATCACAACATGTTTCGCGAATCAAAAATATATTTCCATATTTGGAATTCGTCCAACTGAGCAGTTTGGCGAAATCCGTCCGTCATGGAACCTAATGTGTCAGGGTAAGGAAAATGCACCCACAAAACAATCTTCTGAGGTTCGGAGTTCTAGACACTCGTGACATCTCATTCGGGTTGTTGATTCATCTCTGTGTGCTTGTTCCTTAATCTACTTCCTAATTGGATTCAACTCTTTCCACTCGCCCCCACTCTGACTCCACCATCTCATTAAAATGCGCAACTCGTTTCTTTTGATGAGAGATACGTTTCGTGTAACAAACCAACCGCGACAAATCAATTCATTGGATCGAACCAGTGTTCCATTTTACAGAAGGCCTCACATTAATCGGGTCTCCTCAACTCCCAGTAGCTGTGTATTGTGATAACCATGAAGGCGAAATTGTGCACCTTGTTTTGATTGCCTTCGGTTCAGCAAACT